CCCCAAAACCCCAAAACCCCAAAACCCCAAAACCCCAAAACCCCAAAACCCCGAGATAATAATATTGGATAGAAATACAACAAGTAATTAAATATGCTTAATAGAAGCATCTGAACGTGCATGTTACCTTGGTTCCAATTCCTTCTTTCGACTCCAGAACTATCTTCCCTCCTAGTTTCTCACACAACTTCTTGCAAATAGTCAGGCCAAGCCCAGTCCCAGTCTTGTTCCGGTTGTGGTTGGAGCTGGTCTTGCCGAAGAGTTTGAACAGCGATGGCAAGTCTCCCTCAGGAATCCCAATACCTGTATCTCTGACACTTAATTCGAGTCGGAGTTCTTTTGTGAAGTCAGAAGGCATTGACTGGTCAGCCTCTTTCTGCATCAATTTGCCAGTGGTCTTGTCTTGTCTTGCAAAACCTAATGCAGGTTCATCAAACTTGGACTTGTGTGATTTGAATTCGTAGTTATTAGTTACGAGAAGAAGGTTGCACACTGGCATTTCGTCAAAGGCTTCGACTGAAGACAGCTTCGCTTCATCATCTAAAAAAGTTTGAGATTAAAAATATTCCAAAGAAAGAAGATGTAATTATTATGAAATTAAATATGCTATTGCTCAAATTTATAGTAAATATGCACAAATAATCTGTATAATTGGCTCTCCCAACAAAGATACTAGATGAAATTGTAAGGAAGTCTTCAAATATGATGAAAAGCCAGAAGTATTTTACCAGTGGGCTTATATCTCAACCAAACAGGCAGAATTATTATCACACTTTCTCCATCACCCAATTTAAGGCTTAAGGTAAAATATTTGAAAATGCAGTTTACCATTATCTGATTCGATTTGTTGCGCATTGAACGCTTTCATTTGCTGAATCTTCAACCCTACGTTGATGGAGCCCTCGTCGGTGAACTTCAGAGAGTTAGAAAGCAAGTTCAGGAGAATCTGCTTGAGCCTCTCTTTGTCAGACTTCACTTTGAGTTCACAGAAAGCATCATCCATTGTGAAGTTCAAATTGATCCTCTTCATACAAGTCTGCATCTCGAAGATGGAGTTCACTTCATCGAAGAGCTGCTTGAAAGTGAACTCAGATTCCTGGACTTCGAACACTCCGGCTTCAATCTTTGAGAAGTCCAGGATGTCTTCGACGAGGCCTTTCAGAATGTCTCATGACGATGAAGCGATCTTGTGGTACTTGGCCCAATCCTCAGTGAGGTGGTCCTTCATCAAGTACAGAGACAGCGACATCGCATTGAGGGGAGTCCTGAACTCGTGGGACACATTCGAGAGCATCTGGCGCTGGTAGTTGCTCTGGGCCTTGGCTTCTTCTAGCTGAGTAATCTGGGTTGTGTCTATAAACATTTGAAGGAAAGTAGGTCACGTTTCGAGATCATTGACAACATCAATTTTTGAAGTCTTCACTACAAAGCTTCTATTAATGCTTTCTATTTCAACTGGCAAGTCCTTATTTTTATATTTAATAGACACTTTGATGGCTCTTTCATTTTCATGTCGATCTTGTCAGAGTTCTCTTTCATTTTGAAGAAAATAAGAAAGTCCTATATCTTCATACTGGTTGATTTGCACATCAGGGTCAGCTCCTTTGCCTTCTTCGACTCTATTTTTCTGAACTCTGACGACGAAATTGTTAAAAACATTCTCGTGAAGTATTATAGAATCATCAGAATTTCAAGAGTTTGTAGTATTTTTATGATAAATTTTCTCAAGGCATTGATCAATCTCCTTCTTGGTTTTGGCAAGCTGAATATGCTCAGACCGAGGCTGATAGAAAGACTGTACGTCTAATGTCTTCATGAGCTTCTTGTTTATAAATTTCAGGTCGTCTCCTTGCTCATTCATGATAGTGACTCCTTCAGGCAAGACTTCTAGGATCTTCTTCATCTGTCAGGAAGCCTGCTCAGCCTGATAAGCTGAGAGAAACTCTTGCTTTAGATTTCTCGAGACCAAGAAGGCATTGAAGCAGAATATTAGTGATGAGGTCAAGATTGCATAGAGAATCGTAATAGGTACATAGTCATAGTAAACTCTAAGCATAACGTATAAATTCGTGTAAACCATAATTATAGCTGCTGAGGAAGACCTCCAATCTGAAATGAGGCAAGTCGATAAGAGGAATGAGGCTGAAATATGACACAAGAACCCTTCGTAAAGTCTGTTATGAGATTAGAGTTCATAAAAGAAATATGGTAAATTCATATGAGTTTTTGAAGAATGTGGGGAAACTTCATAGAAAAATATTGAAAATTATATTTTGATGTTACCTACCTAAAATGAGTGAACTCAAGGTTTATTCTTGTTAGCACAAGTCCAAATGCGCCTATCACTAGAATCGCTCCATACATTGCAGCTACTTTACTTGTAAATAGGAGAGCAAACAAAACAATAGGACCTAGTTTTTCAGAAGTGGAAGCATCCTCTTGCAACAGAAAGCAGATTGCTATACCCAAAAATATTGTCTGCAAGATCAAAAGTATAAATCTCCAGTTGGCTCGGATGGTCTTGAGCCGGTGCTCATAGTACAGCTTTTCGATTTGGTCTGTCCCTAAATCAATGTCTTCGAAGACCCATCAGCTTTTGACTTCATTCCAGATTTTCTTGAGCTGAAGAAGATCTACAAAGTAGCTGGTAGAGCTAAAATCAGAGATATGTTCTTTCTTCTGTTTTACCATTTGTTATATAAAAATAATTATAGTGTTCAGGACTATGATTAAGGATAGGGGTTTTGGGGTTTTGGGGTTTTGGGGTTTTGGGG